AAGCATATCCTTTATGTCATGACATTGTCATTCTTCAAGAAATTTATGTGATAAAGGGTAAGACAAAACGTTGACAAGATACACATGTTTAGAGACATATGAAAACACAATGGTAACACTGTATAGTGAGGCAAAGTTTGGAGAAAGTTTACAGAAGATATTATCTGAGAATATCAGGCATTTCCTGGACATTCAAGCAATGGAAATAATTCTAGTAGCAAAGGAGAGATTGACTCGTACAAAGCTACCAGTCAATCTTCCTGTTTGCTCCCCAATCTGTTCTTGTACCTCTGTATGAATAAAGAATTTATAATATAAATTCTTTGTATCCTGGTACAAAGGAGTGGACAGACCATGAACTTTATGTAAGAAACAACGAGTATCAGAGTTCATTTTGTAAAAGTATTCAAGAGTAGAGTAAGAAAGATGTGTCTTTTTAGAACCTAGTCAACACTGCATATTAAAATAAAAGAATTGAAATAAAACATTGAAGAGAATTAATTTTCAGCTAATCTAGAATGATGATTTGTAGAAGCAGACTGAAACAGGTCTCCTGAGAGAGAACAAGGTCTCATTCCTGTTTGAGAAATAAATTCTTTGTACTCAGCAGATCTTAGTCAAAGAGAGCTAGGCAAGTATGCTGATTTCCTGCAGGATTTCTGGGTATCATATAAGGATGCTTACAAATGATAGGAGGATTCAAGAAGAGAACTAACAGTTGGTTAGTGTCCAACAAATATCAGGAAAGATCTTATATCATTTTCACAAACTTACATGATATATAAATTATGATCTCAAAGTCAAAATAATTAACATCCTGAGAGGTGAACTTGCCCAAGATGATGCTACCAGTAGAGGCTGACAGAAAGTGAAACTCTGCCTGTTTGGTATCTCATCTTCTCTTCTTACAGAAACTCCTGCCTCCAGTAGCATCTCTGCAGTAGATTGTTTACTAATAAGTCAACTAACCACCCCGAAATCCTTCTGTCCTTCAAGGAGGAGACATGAGACCTGATTCTGAGGAGATAGACTCCTCTCTGATTTTAAGGGGAAGGATGCGTACAGCCAGAATCCAGATGAATGCACCTCTGTGAGACTAGAGTCCATTTTCCAAAGGGACCACAGTACTTTAAAAGAGGAAATAGATAAATGTCAGGGGTATTTTGTACACAGAACTGAGACGCTATCATGATTCAACTGATGCATGAAATTAAGGAAAGTTGGGCATTATGGAATGACTCTTCTGGCTGAAGAGACTAGATAAAACTAAGGTACCACCAACCAACACAGAGAAAATGGAGAGAAGACCAGGCTTTGATTAGGAGAGTAAATCTAATTGCAAACAATGAGATATATTTGAGCAATTACTAAAATAAATTCAGTAGAGAGAAACCAGGGATTTTATAACAGAACATTTCACCATTTCATATATTTTCTGGTAGTTAATTTGTTGCAGGTCCAGACAAAGGAACTCTATAGTGGTCTATAAATTTCATTATCAGTCACATCAGGGCAACTCTGGTTTATTATTTAAAATAATTTAAATATATCAAATACAACTTTTAAGATCTAAAACACACTATTCTGGTGAGATACGAAAATCCCAGCAGGAAGCTCATTTATTATGGCTATTGTCTGAGAAGTTGTTAGGGCATTTAAGACATGAAGAGTAGAAAAACAGATTTATGACCATGACACAGCTTTATGGATTTTGGCTTTTGCACAATTTGAAATAATTGGGCATAGTTATATTCCTTATGATCACTGCCATCAAAGCTGAACATCATTTTTGATTATGGGAGGAAAGACAATTTTTTTCTAAGCATAAAATTTTCAGAGATAGGAGGGAAGGATGGCTGGGATATGGATAATAAAATTTATTTTTTCATGTTTAAGTATATATGTATATTTCCTGATCTCTACACTCCTACTATGAGTGAACCTGTCTGATATATATATATTTTTTGGCTTTGGATAATAATTTTTTCTAAAGAAAGTTTTTCTAAAGTGCAAGGGGTCAAAGTATTGTACTACAAAGCTAGCCACAGCAGTTTTAGCACTAGTTCGATCCCGGGCCAGGGAGGTGACTCACATGGCACAGCAGACCTCTCCTGTCATGCCTGCTGCTCCCCTCAGCAGTGTACTTCATTAATCTGCCTGTTTGCTCCCCAATCTGTTTTTGCAACTCTAGCCTGTGCCCCAGTTCTGTATGAATAAATGAGTCATTAAAAAAAGTTTTTCTCTTGCTATATTTTTGAAAGTCTTCTTCATTCTAGTAGAATTATATTATGTTAAAAGAAGTAGAATTATTTACTGGAGTCAGTATGACATTGTTGACCCCCAATATTCAAAAGAAATAATGATGTTTTATGTGTTTCAAAAACAAAGATTGTGTTAAGAAAGCACATGTATGGCATACTCGGTTCTAGCGCACTGGTGGTCACATGCAGCTGTAGTCTGATGCCCATCACTTCAGGCCTGTTTCTGAAGGGCTTAGACTATGGCTATGAACTCATGCACTCACAATTATTACAGAATGTCTGCAGTGTACCAGGCAGCATTGTTAGTATGTGAATAAAACTGAAAAAAATGTGCCTTCCTCATAAGAAAGAGGGACACTAGGTGGGTAAACATTATTATAATTTTCAGGCAGTTTGTGTGCTATGAAGAGTGATTAAGTAAAATTTCCTGTTTTATAAAGATGGGCTTGAAATTGTGGAGATGGATTCAATCATGTAGCATTTCCTAAGGCATGATAAAAGATGTACATGAAAGTAGAACCAATAGGCTTGTTGATGGATTAGATAAAGTGACAGGGAAAAAGAAGTGTCTGGAATAACACACATGTTTATGGCCTATGTTGCAGGGGCTTAGTGGCATGATCATAAAAACAGGTAAGATTTGGGAAGGAGCAAGTTTAGCTGGGATATTTAGACATAGATTAAGTATACAAAGCATGACACTGTATAGCCATTTGATATCTAAATCTAGGGATTCAGTACTGGTAGTACTGATCTGCAGAACTTTTTGAATAAGTGAGTTTTTTTTTAAGCCATAGGAGAAGTAGAGACAATCTGAGTGTGGATGAAGAGAAGAGGGCTGGAAAGAGACTCCTACCCCATTTTAACATTGACATGTCCTAAAAAGGAGGCTCATGGGTAAGAGCACATGCTCATGGGTAAGAGCACATGCCATGCATTATTTAGTACCTGTAGGTAGTAATTCAATATTGAATAAAGCACAATTGTTATGAAATACCAAATGTTACCAAAGAATTGATTCACTCACTGGCAATTCTATTTTTACTTATCTTAATCAAATCAATCAGGGAATCCTTGGAAATTACCTTCACTGGAAAATAGTATCATTTAAAATAATTGAAAATTTGATTTTCCTAAGTTAATTTTCAAACTTGAAAATTTGATGTAGTCATGCCAAACTATACCTCTATTGCTGGTTGTATCTACAAATTTTAGTCACTTTTTACTAGGCTCATTCCTACCTATAAGAGAAAACTAGTAATACTAATTAGAACAAAGTTAAGAGATTTTAACCAACTATAGTAGTATTATCCTTCACATTTATTATTTTAAAAAGTAAATTTAAAGAAATAAAGATTATGATTAATCATCATAGGAACTGCTATTATGTGATTATTCTAACAGCATATTAGCATATTTCCAAATATATAATTGCATCTTATGATGGCAAACATCACTATAAATATTACAATGACAATTCAAAATATTCTTTTGAAAAAAAAACTTGGCAGTAAGTAAATACCATCAAAATGTTCACGTCATTTGACCAGTAATCCTATTGCTAGATACTTGTCATGTAGCAATAATTCAAATAAAAGAAAAAAGTGTATGAGACAATTCATTGAACTGTTTAGAATAGTGAAATCTGTAGGCAAAATTTGTCTGTTCTACATGTAACAAGATTGTGAAGAATATTTCCATGCTTCCTGCAGTTTCAGGCCAAAGTTGAACCCAATAATGTTTAATAATTTTTAATAATAAAAACTAATAAGGTTTTATAGGGTTCAATAAGCTACCAGACTAGTCAAATTCCTGTAGAGCTTATAAAGGGGATTCAAAGTTACCCTGTGCTATAAACTGATTGATTATGTTCCCTAAAAATTCTTTATATTGAAACTTAAACATCAAAAGGTTTTAACCCACAGGAGAAGGAAACTGACTAGGTCATGAAGAGTGGAATCCTCATGAATGGGATTAGGGTACTTATAAAAGAGAACTAGGAGATCTACATGCACGTGTGAGGCAATATAGCAAAGACAGCTGTTTGTGAATCAGAAAGAAAACTCCCAGACACCAATTATAAACACATTTTGATCCTGAACTATCCAGCATCAAGATTCGAGAGAGATAAATTTCTATTGTTTATACGCCACCTAATCTACAGTGTTTCATTACAGCAGCCCAACCTGATTAAGACATCTCATTATACTTTTCTCTCGTACCTGAAACTAGGAGAAGGCAAGAGAGGTACTTAGAACACACAATTTAAGACAGAACTTGCATAGCCTGGAGATTAACTTGTCTCTTTAGGTATGGTACGCTCAGCCTCATTCCTACTGGATACTGGCTTAGCATGTGAAATGATTTGATGACACATCTGTGGGATATATAATCGAGGTAAGGATTCCTTGGAATCAAGAGGAAGAATGGGATGATATTTAGGTTCAAGGCTTTATCTTCCTCCATTCCTCTGCTTAGATTCTTATGTTGATGGAATAGCTTTTATGGGGTACTGGAAGACTGTCTGAAAAACAAGTATATTCTAGGTTTTTCCTTGACAGAAAGGGAATATGCAAACTTACTATGCTAACATCAAGTCTAACTCTTCAGAATCAGCTTGATATCAGTCTTATTGCTTTGTATATGGATTATATTTAAATTTCCTCTTTAAATTTAACTCTCCTCTGTATATAACAATTGGTATCAACACAGGAAAATAAGGGAAAAATTTTATCTTACACATGTGCCGTACAGCTTGCTCAGGTTCTCAGAGTCACTCGGAGGTCGCTTTACATCTTAGCAGAGGTCCCACTGTTGAGAAAAAAAAAAATCAAATATGAAGCAAATAAATAGGTGAACAATTCCAAAATTACACAGTATTTGTATAATTCTTTAAAGCAACCAAGAATAAATCACAAGAACTTTTTTTCCCTTCATAATGGTGTCTCCTTTGGGATCCTATAAAAATAGAGTAGTATCTCTGAAGGTTATCAGACATTCTCTGCAGAATTTGTACTTGTCAATTCTTTTTCTCACAAAGAATATCTTTCCACTGACTCCTGTGAATTTGACAGAGTTGTGCTTTATATAGCATGCCTTCATCAGAAACATGAGCAATAGAACCGAGACAGCATCTGCAAACTCAAAAGAAGATGAAAAATTTGACAAATATTTAAAACACGTCAGTATTCTTACCATTTGTCTTCTCTAACTTTTTAAATTTAAACTTTCTTTATGTTACTTGTAGTAAGTGCATCTGCAAAACTGCCAGAAGCAGAGGTCAAGTTACATTCCAGCTGTGCATCTCATTTGTAAAATTTGTTTGCAGAATGCAAAAGCATTGCTTAGTTAATATACAGAACAAAGGCTAGAGCTCTCAAAAATTCAACAAGTGTCTGTATTCCCAACTGGTAGAGTCTCAAGGGCTCATGAATAATGTTTAGCTAGCTAAAATGCAGACCTGTACAGGAATTTTGCAATAGGAATGGTAAAGGTTATTTTCTGACCTATTGTTTATCATTGCTAAATTTTTTTTTATCCTGTTTATAAAATTTCAGCAATTTGCTATCCCTATCAAAGAGGCTGTCACTACTGACTCTGTGTAAAACATAAACTATATACTTACCTTTCAGGAATTTAACATCTAAAAGAAGAATAAAAATGTAAATTAAGGTGATTAAAAATGCTATGCTAAGTGAAGTTAATACTTCCAACCTTGGTAGCATTCAAATGTAAAGCTACCAGATAACAAAGCACATACCAAAATACATTAATAAAGATAAGAAACATGACATCCTTTAATGTGAGTGTGAGAGAGAGTGTGTGTGTATGCATGTGTTTGGCTATTTGGAATTTCATTAAAACTATGAATCACAACATTCAGATAGATCCATTTTGAGCATATAATACTTTATACTTATAAAACATTCCTGGAGTAATTTTTTGGTTTTATGCCAAATAATAATTGTAAGAATATGAAGATCAAGAATTATTTTAACCCTTTCTTACAGGCATATCAATAGAGACACAGGGCCTCTCTGGTGGCACAGCGGGTTAAAGCACAGCACTAAGAAGCTAAAGCCACTTCCACCGAGTTTGATCCCCGCCAGCCCCGGAGTTGATCCACCTAGGCAGACCTCTCCTGATCAGCCCGCTGCTCCCCTCAGCAGTGTACTTCGACGATCTGCCTGTTCTGCTCCCCACTCTGTCTCTGGTGAATCCTCTTACCACCCCTTCACCTCTGGCCTGTACCCCAGTTCTGTATGCACAAATAAATCTTTAAAAAAAAAACAGAGTCACAAAGATATTTAGAGACTTGAACAGGTGATACTAATCAGAGTCTTAGGAATAAACTCACTGAACTCTTTATCTACTTACTAAAACTGCATTTTTAAAAACCTGTTTTAGTCACTGGTCACTGACTATACATATACTTGATCCTTCAGAAGCTTGTGGCATAGTGAGTGAAGGGACATGATTTATACATAAACAACACATAGTGGCAGTAAATTCAACTATAAATATATACAAAGAAATTCTGTAAGAAGATAATACATTGAAAAATTTTTTTAGAGACTCTCTACTGAGATTTTGTTTAGGACGTAGCTGCCAAGTAGTACATGGTTGAGAAATGCAAATGGTGAATTAATTTGGTAAGGTGTAAAGTTAGAAATTAAGATAGAGGCCTGATTAAGAAGACTGTCTATAACTGGTTAAAGGAACTTGATTTCATCAATCTTTTAACTCCTGGCTGTTGCTACGGGTTACTAGGTTACATGGGTTTCCACCAAAATAAAAATTAAACAAATTAACAATTTAGATAAAAACATAGAAAGAATAGCTGAATGTCAGGAATATTTATAAAAAGCATATTTGTAGAAACTAAATGGACAATTTTTAGTTTCTGGACAATGTTAAGAATAATTACAATGATAAAATTTTGCCTTTGGATATGTATATTTTATTTTATTTTATTTTATTTTTTTGTTTTTTTTGGATTTTTTAAATTTTATTTTATAACAGTTTATTTTTACATAATTTTGTACATTTTTCTTTTCCATCTCAATTGTAATCCCCGTGGGATGGATATATATTTTAAACAGTAAATTCTGACATCAATATATAAAGTGTGTGTAGGAGAAAGTATAATTTTTTTGTGTGTGATTGGACTTAGGTTATCACCTTATAAAAATGGCTGTAATTGTTAAGTCTTATGGTAATGATAATGAAAAAAAGCATATAGTAAATTAAAAAGTGGTAAAGAGTAAATAAAGTATACCACTAAGATTTAAAAAAAAATCATAAAAGCATCAAAGAAAGACAGCAAGAAGGGAAGAAGTAAACAAAACAACTAAAAAACAGAAAATTGAACAAAGTGGCAATAGTCAGGGTTTCCTATCAATGGTTCATTTAAATGTAAATGTAAATCAATGAAATCAATGAAAATCAATGAAATTAACCACACAAGAGATGTAAAGTAACTCAATCGATTAAAAAAACAATGTTCAGGGCCTCCCTGGCAGCCCAGGGGTTAAGTCTCAGAGGTCTCACCTCTATGATCTGAGGTTCCATCCCTGGCCAGAGAGCTGACCCACATTATAGCACAATAGACTTCTCCTATCTCACCTGCTACTCCCTTCAGCAGTGTATTTCAGTAGATCTGTCTTTTCTGCTTCCCACTGGGTCCCTGGTGAATCCTCCCACTCTCTGTACCTCTGGCCTAAACCCCAATTCTCCTATGCAATTAAATAAATTTATATTTAAAAATGTCCAAATATATTCTACCTATAAGAGAATCAATTCAGATTTTAAGAATACACATAGGCTGAAAGTGAAAGCTGTATTTTAGAAATCACTCAAAACATTTAAAAAATTAAGAATCTAAGAAGTACGAAGTTAAGAAGTTTTTCTGAAATTATGAGAAGAAATTTTAATTACTTCAAATCAGGATAATTTGTCAGCATCTAATCTGTGGCTGTTTGGGCATAGGAAAAAAAAGTGTTGGATTATTTGGGGAAAACCAAGGAAAAGTTTTAATATTCTAAGCTTGTAAGTCCAGACAGGAGATTTATCTCAGAAAAATAATTTAATAATATGGATTCTGGTTAAATGTTTCTTAAAATTAATAACTCCTGTGTAAAGTTTCTATTTATCTGTTCTCATATGCTATATAAACTGGGCCAAAAGCCACAACCAGCCAATTATATATCTTCAAATGTCTAATTACGTATCTTCAAATACCACAAAATACAAACAACTTCAAGTTGGACATCCAATGGAAAAAAAAATATAATTGTAATAGTCTCTACAGATCTCTATATTAACAGATCAATCTTAAAATAAGAATAAATGTGATTAACAGAAAGCTGAATTTTAGTGTTGCACATAGAATAAAATTCATTGTTTTTCAAGTATTGAGTAGAATTTATGAAAGTTAAATATCTACAAGCCAAAACAAAATCTTAATTAATCATCTCAGGTAAAAGTCATGCTAGCCATGTTTTCTGGTCAAGTATATAATACTTAAAATAAATACTTTATTTATTTAAATCTATTTAAACAATTGACAACATATTACCACAAACCTTATAATTTATAATTTATTCTGCTCATTCAAAATAATGTTTAAGCAAAGAGGAAAATTAGAATTCAATGTTATACTATTTGGTTAATACTAATGAGAATGACATCTAGGAATTTTGGTGGAATAGCTCTGTAGATATAATTATATACTATTGTTTTGCTTAAAACATAGAAAATGCTTTTAAGTAAAGAATTAAAAAAATTATAAGCACTGAAAATATTAATGCTTATTTTCTCTTTTTTAATTAAACATCTATTCATATTAGCCAAAATTTGGCAAAATATGTAGATTAAAGACAAATGAATAAAAATAAAAATTCTGTGAACCAGCCATAACCAAAAGGAAATTCATGCGATATGCTAGGAAAAATGCCTAGGAAAAAAATTCAAACAAAAAACATGTGAAATTTATAAAAAAGTCAATAATCAAATTGTTTTGACAAACATGAAATAAGTCAAAATTTTATTTTTCCATGAGAAATTCAGTTGGTTTTTTCAAGTTAATTTTTATTTAAAATGCTACTTTAATAAAAATGTTCACTTTTTGATAGCTCTCAAAAAAGTCCATGCTGAGGGGGACAAACAACAAAGAATAAACAAACTTTTAGATAAAGTGATTAAAAATAAAAATCCGTGCCCTACAGGGCTAGAGCTTAAAATTTACAATAACTAAAGGTAGTGTAGGTAGGTGTGTTACACCAACTGAGAGGAAGAGAGGGGTAAAGAGAGAGGGCAACTAAACAGAAACCACCACCATGGGCAGAAGCATCTAGCTGACGTCAAATTTAATACTTCATAATAGTACAATGGTAATTAATTTTTCAAGACATATATTAAGACAATAGGCTAAGTCTTTAGTTAGCAACTCATCACATAGATCTATAGAATGAATGACAACTTGATAATATAACTAAAGATAAAATAAGATCATTAAAATTGAAAATATAAACAAACATGATTCCAGGTGATATTGGGATAGAAAGTTATAAATTAATTTCTGGTTTCATGAAGACAAGACCAAACCAAAGTAAAAAAAAAAAAAACAAAGAAATGTTGAATCATATACAATTTATCATTATTAATAGTTATGGAACAAGTTCAAAGATGTCAGCAAAGAGAAAAATTTGCAACATATTGACAAAACACTGAAAGACACAAACTGTATTATGAACTATAACATGGTATATTTATCCTATGGTAGTATGAAAAAAAGCAAGGGCAGATAATGT